TACATTATTTATTCCTTAATATTAAATTTTGCTATCATTATGTAAGATAAATTCATCATATTTTTTGTCCAATGCTAAAGCATATTCAAAAATTTATTTTTTATTAATACCTTTAATACTACTAGACGATAGGTGGCGCTTATGTGCCACTTATCTTGTTTAAGTAAGATTAGAAATAAATAAATAAACAACTTCTAAGAAAATTGTAATATTATTGATGTTTTATTTATTTTGGAGTTATAATAGAGTTTTCAAGATTGACTTATTTCGAAAATAACTGAGTTTAAAGATATTATTTATGTTTTGAAATTTTAAAATTCGAAAAGCAAATAGAATACACGTACATGGAAATGAAATTTGTAAAAAAAATTTTTTTAAAAAGGTTTAAAGATCAAAATTCGAAATAAACACATTTTATTTTCTTTATTATTATTATTTTTAATTAATTACAGAATTAATTAATTAATTATAGTATTTATTATGAGGGAGCAACGTGTAACAACCCGTTGCAATTATGGTAAGTTTATGGCATTGCATCTATATCTCTATGTTTGAAACAATTTAAAAGCTCACTTTTCAAAAATTTTCAATATGTCTCTCCGTTCCTGGCTTCTCGCAACTGCACCTATCATACTGTCATGTTTTCTTTAAATTTTATAAGCAGACAAAATTTTTAATGAAAATTTCTCCTGTTAAAGTTAGTATTTGGGGTTAATGTTAGTATTTAGGGAAGATTTTGCAGGGTTTAGAGCATTTTTATTTAGAACACACCGTGCTGTTTCATTAGGCAGTTTTTGAAACAATGTATACATAGGCGTAAAATACCATAGGTCGTTTTAGTTAAATATATAAGAAAAATATGCTTTATTATTTATTCATTAAATTAATTGTATTAAAATATGATTATCAATTCTATATGTTGTCTAAATAAAAGAAAGCTAGTAGACGCCTGCAAGTTAAAAAATAATCTCTTACGACATTTTGTCTCAACAAAACCATTCAGAACGAATACATGTGCAATACATATATATATCAATATAGCTCACATTAATAGTTGAAATTATTTAATGTAATAGCCTCATTTTAGGATTTTGAAAGTATTGAATTTAGTCCATATTCAACCCCACCCCTAAAATCGGGAATTAGTGAGACGATTCTTGTAAATTATTCTTCGCATTAATTTTATTATTTGTAACACTAAAACCTAACAACCAAATTTTATCATTGAATTTAATTAGGTGGTTGTTGATAATTTAAGTTTATATTACAAGTTACAAATAATAAAATTGAGCGTATAAATAATAACTGTCTTTTCTATAATTGCTTGAATAATATATATTATAAAATACCTTTCGATTGCGGCAATCTTTAAAGACCATCCCATATGAATTCATGTAACAATAGTAAAAATATGTTAGCTAATAGAATTAAATTAATGTAAGTAAAAAAAAATTTTTTATTGCGTAAACAATTTTTACCGGATCATCCAGAAAGATTATATTCTTGATTTGATTATGATAATGTTGATTAATCCTCATTTGAAGATATTTGGATTCACTAAATCCTCCAACCAAAAACATTGCCGTGTAAGTAATTCCCAAATTGAGTTGCAAACCAATCAATTTAATAATCTTGTCTATTACAAGATCAAACATTGATTTAACATCATCGAATCCTATATCGATTATCCATTTAACTCTTTCTAATTTTGTTCTTGAAGTTCCTGTCACATATTGTTTCAACATTGGGCATACTTCTTTAAAGTCAAATTTAATGACTTTGAAATCTTTTTTAATGCCAGTAAAAGGTAACTTGATCTGGCGCTGAAATTCACTTAACATATATTGAAATTGATCATTGTATTCTTTAGCCAATGAACTTACAGCATATTCTCCGACTTTTTTCTCTAAAAATTTTAAAAATTCTTTGTCAACGCATGCACCACCAGCAAATTCAGTAGTTTTATATAATACATTTTCGTTTAATTCATTATTTTTTAACTTGAAAGTTGTAAAATCTACTTTATAACAGCCACAATCCAATATAATAATTGAACCTTGTTCTATTATGAATAAAAATTATATTTATATTTATATTTATATTGCATGTTATAATAATAATAAAATAATACTTCATTGATCATTGAACGTACGTTTTTGTAACATTTTTTTACAATACATGGCTGCTGCCATGGCTAAGGAAAAAGGTTGACAAATTTTAAAAAAAATTATAAAGCATTTTGAATTATTTCAAATAAAAAGAAACAATAACTTACATTCTTCAACGAATTTCAACTTATCTGAATTTCGGGTTGATATTAGACCTATATATTTGATTTTTGACAATTATTTTTTACGACACCAAAAATTATAACAAGGAATAATAACAAAGAATAAATTTTCATATTTTTTCAATACCAGCTCTATAACTTGATTCTTTCATTACATCCTTTGCGTGCTCGGTATATTCTGCTGGGACAGTCAAGACTAGCAAAACTTGATTAAGGAAATTAATATTTGGCCAACGTTTCAATAAGACCTCTTTGATGAGCTGTTAATTAAAAGATAATAATTAATAGCAAGATATATAAGTGAAATATAATAGTGTAAAATTTTTTGGTAACTTACTTTTCCTATTTAGAATTAAACCAAATAGATATATTATAGTTTATTTTTTTTTTATTATACTATCATAAAATTATTAATTGCATATATACATACTCATTTCTGTTAAATAGTCTGTTATAGGCTTTTTATAATATAACCCTTCAGGTAAATCTGGTTTATCGAATTTTTTACTTAAATGAAGTTTAAAAAATTGGATAGGCGAAAAGCCACCTTTATATATTCTTCGCATATTTGGCTTTTGCACTAAAGCTGGTAATCCCCATGCCTCAACAGTTTTAAGGTTTTGATCATATCTCAATACCGTATCAGTTTTTAATGGCCCTGTAAATTCTTGCCAATAATCATTTGCTATAATCTCTGACGGATTGGACACATGCGCATATGCGAATCCCTATTAAGAAGGGAACATTAATAATTTATTTTTGTAATAATTTATTATGGTGAGAATAAATTACAGAAATGAAAAAAAAAACTTATATTAAAACATACCGAATGAGTCGTTCCGAAATCTATTTAAATATTAGATGTTCATATACAAAATGGAATAAAATGTTTTTCATAAAATAACAAGATTTCAGATGATAATCAAAATTGTTCTTACCAATTGCTAATGTTGAAATAATAAATCAGCAAGTTATATTTAATTAAATTTTACCGCTTATATTGAACATTAAAGGTCACATACCAACCACGACTTTAATTTCTGTAAGCCCTAGGTTATAATGAGACCCTATAGACTCTTTAACATCGTATGGTGACACTGTATTATGTGAATTTTTTGAATTTGTTTGCATTTCTGTGTAATGTTGCCGATTTGTGGTTGATACTGGTTTATAATGGGAACTAATGGATCCCAAATCATCAAGTGGTGGATATTGTGAGCTTTGTGAATTTGAATGCATTTCTGTATAATATTGATTATTTGTTGCTAAATTTTTGATAGTTACTACATCATTCATCGAATTATTGTTTTGAATTTTTTTTAAAGTTTCAAAAATTAATTTTATTTCTGGGCGAACGCTAGGATTAGACTCCCAGCATTGTTGATAAAGTTCAACATATAATATTGGTGTACCCTCTATGGGCGTTTCCCTAGTTCCATTATTGACTTGAACAGAAATTGAATAACCTGATCCAAGGGATTGGAATGGTGGTCTACCACTTGAAATTTCCCAGAGGATTACTCCGAAGCTGTAAATATCCGATCTTTTGTCTCGTTTGTACGTTGAATCTATAAAACATTGAGGTTCTATATATGCTGGCATTC